GGGGGAAGGGGGTATGGTGGACATGTAGGGTGATTTTTTGCAACCTCCTCCCTTCAGATCCCTCTCTTTGTGGGTTAAATGGAAATCCCCACTAAACACCAAAAAGCTAAAAAGCTAAGGGGATAGATGGGAGCCACCAAGATTTAGGGTATTGGTTTTTTTTAGGCTCTTGGCTGCAACATATACTCTAAGTGTCCATGGCACGGGGTTGACGTCGCTGACAATAGGAGTGGCCCCCACCATTTCTCCCCACAGCGAAATGGGTACGCCTCAACATATGCCCCGCGCCCTTGCTTGGGACGAAATGGGTTTTTGTGGGCGGCCCTTTTGTCCCGAGTTGGGGGGGGTCGTTCCAATGGAAGTCACAACACCAAAGAGGGTTGCACTTCTCGGACATGCTTGGAAAACATGCCCCCCCAACCCCCCAACAAAACAAAACATGGGCATGAGCTTTCTTTCAGGATCCCCTTTGGTGGACGATCATTTCGTCTTCACCAACCACTCCGGCAAAGACGCCAACGCCAAATGGGCGCAGCGAAAAGCGGAGGCAGGGACCCGCCTCCGAAAAGCGATTGCCACCCAAGGACAATGCGTGGATTGCATCCGAAAGGAACCCATTCCGTCAGATCACCCAAAGGGGTGTCTTCTTTTGAGGGTACCACCTTTTCGGTGGATTTCAAGCGAGACCAAGAGGAAAATCGTTGCGGCACTGTGGGGGTTCCCCCTCCCCAAAAAAAAAGTCTGCATCTCCGGTTCAAAGCCGAGTGAACTCTTCAACCCGTCCGACTAAAGTTCATCGACAACACAATATGGATTACTGCTGAGAATGTCAAGGCCATCTTTCAGAATTCCGAGCCATTTCCCTTCTTTGCGGCTCAACGGAAACCACCAGTCAATTGATCAACTTTTGAGGGTGGAGATCCAGTCACCCCGGTCTCTATCCTTTCAGGCCTGCCCTTGCTTCCTCTCTCTGAGTGCGGCGCCACATCGTGTGATCTCCATATCGTTCTGCTTTCGGCATCCCATTTGCAGTTCGAACCCTCCGATCAAAAGGACCCGTGAAAAAGGGGGCCCTTTGGCTGCCCTTTGGCTCTGACTTGGTCACTCGGAACTCGTGGATCCTCTCCACCTCGGTGCGCGAATTCGAACGAATCGCGTGGGAAGAATGTTACACAAAGGCTTGGGAGGAGACTAAAACAAAAATACCCTCTGGGGAAATTGCGATGTTTTTTTGGGGGGAGGGGAGTCAGTTTAGCACGTCGAAAGCTTCAACGCCGGATTGCCTGCGTGTGTGTGTGTGTGTGTGTGGCTTCGTTGTGGCTTCTCTCTAATAGCACCATCAGGCTATATTTCCCATCACCGGCCTTTGTGCCACTTCATCAAAAAGACGGTGGTAGCCAAAAGCATCAACAACTATATCCACCTCCCTCATCTTCCTCAAATAAGCTACGGAGCAAGAATCCCCGCAAGACTTGTCGCCTGTGCGCTTTTTGTGCAGATGCTACTCAAGTCTCGTACATTCCCTCATCTCCGTAAAAGTAGCTTTGCCATTATGCTGGAGTCAGAAGGCTACAGGAGAGATTGAAGTCCGGCATGAAAGTGCTTTCTGTAAGCCAACATCAATGGGAACAACAAGCCAAGGTGATTGTAGAGCTCAACCGACTCGCAACATGCTTTCCCCAATTCGGGCATGATGCTATTCTTTGCAGCCCTCGAAAGCGCGGCACTTAGCCAATAGAAGCCGCCATATGAATCTTCCAACTTGCGGCTGCCAGTCGAATTATATTCCACTCGCACAACCAAGCGCCAAGTGCAGTTTGGCTTGTTGCACGCAATGCCCATTCCCCCACCCCACCCCCGCCTGTCAACGTCATGTGACCCGCGGACAATTATTGGCGGTTCAAGAGGGCATTGGCAAATTGGCTGTACCTCTCCCCTCATTAACAAATTCGCAGTCCCCCTCCCCTCTTCCCCCCTCTCCGTCCCCTGGCTTTTGGAAGGAAATGCGTGATGTCCCACAAACAAGCAGCCAAAGCTGCTGCAAGAACCTCCGACGCTTCCCCTCCGTCTTGGGCGCCCACGTTTCTGTGCACTGAGGGAAAGTATGGCTGGGCGGGAGTTTGCAGCCTGGAGAGCGATCCCAAACACCCAAAGCGCTTTTCTAAGGAAAAGCAACTAGATATAGGGTCAATTCGCAGAGGCTCCCGTTTGCTGAGGTCCGGCATGACCGTCCGCAACTTGGGCAAACCGCCGAATGTTTGTCTGACTACCGAAATGCACTGCGCCTGTTCGGTAGCCTGTGGCAAAAGCAAGCCACGCATGTATGCGAGCGAGTTGCAAAGAAATGGCAGCCTCTTGTGGCTGATAGGTGGGCACATCCTTCTTGAGAGGACTCTTTTCAAGGTTGGTATTTGTCAACAACCGCCACTTTGTGGGCCCAAATCTCTATTTTGACCTGTGCAAGGGGAACATTCTAGTGACGAAAAGATGAAGCCTGGGACAAAAAGATGTTCGATTTCGAAAGGTCCACAGTCCCCGCCATTCATACCAAGGTAAAAGTACATGACACTCTTCAAATTAAAGTCTCGTAAGGATGATAAATCCTAGATGGGGAGGGGCAAAGCGGTTTCCGCGCCTTCTCTGTTCCGCCACTAGACTGTGCAACTGGGCCGCGAGGCTTCGCGTCGAGTCGGTGCAGCAAAATGGCAGCAGGTTGGCTAGGGTTTTATTTCAAGCAGGCGAACCTAAAAGGGGCAGCCACTTCAAGCAGATGAACCTACCATCATCCCAAAAAGAAGGGCAGTCACTTCAAGCACATGAACCTAACATCACCCCAAAAAGAAGGGCTGTCACTTCAAGCAGATGAACCTAACATCACCCCAAAATCTCCCCAAAAAGAAGGGCAGTCACTTGGAGCAGATGAACCTACCATCACCCCAAAAAGAAGGGCAGTCACTTCAAGCACATGAACCTAACATCACCCCAGAAGGGGCAGTCACTTCAAGCACATGAACTTAATATCACCCAAAAAAGCAGTCACTTCAAGCACATGAACCTAACATCACCCAAGAAGGGCAGTCGCTTCAAGCACATGAACCTAGCATCACCCAAAACGGGGCGGTCACTTCAAGCAGATGAACCTAACATCACCCCACAAAGAAGGGCAGTCACTTCAAGCACATGAACGAAACATCACCCCAAAAGGGGCACTTCAAGCAGATAAACCTAGTAGCAAATGAACCTAGTCGATTCAAGTAGATGAACCTAACATCAACCCAAAAGGGGCAGTCACCCAAAAAGGGCAATCACTTCAAGCAGACGAACCTAACATCACCCTAAAAGAAGGGCTGTCACTTCAAGCACATGAACCTAACATCTCCCCAAAAAGAAGGGCAGTCACTTCAAGCACATGAACCTAACATCTCCCCAAAAAGAAGGGCAGTCACTTCAAGCACATGAACCTAACATCTCCCCAAAAATAAGGGCGGTCACTTCAAGCACATAAAGCTAACATCTTCTCAAAAAAACACGGCAGTCACTTCAAGCACATGAACCTAACATCTCCCAAGAAGGGGCAGTCACCTCAAGCAGATGAACCTAACCTCACCCCAAAAAGAACGGCAGTCACTTCAAGCACATGAACCTAACATCACCCCAAAAAGAAGGGCTGTCACTTCAAGCAGATGAACCTACATCACCCCAAAATCTCCCCAAAAAGAAGGGCAGTCACTTCAAGCAGATGAACCTCCCCAAAAAGAAGGGCAGTCACCCAGAAATGGCAATCACTTTAAGCAAATGAACCTAACATCACCCCCAAAAAGAAGGGCAGTCACTTCAAGCAGATGAACCTAACGTCACCCCAAAAGAGGCAGTCACTTCAAGCACATGAACCTAACATCACCCCAAAATCTCCCCAAAAAGAAGGGCAGTCACTTCAAGCACATGAACCTATCCTCACCCCAAAAGGGGCAGTCACTTCAAGCACATGAACCGAACATCACCCCAAAAAGAAGGGCTTTCACCCCAAAATCTCCCCAAAAAGAAGGGCAGTCGCTTCAAGCACATGAACCTCACATCACCCCAAAAAGAAGGGCAGTCACTTCAAGCAAATGAACCTAACGTCACCCCAAAAGGGGGAGAACCATGGCCACCCATGCGATTCGAGCCGTTGCCACCTCCTAAAAGTAGAAAGTTGCCACCTCCAAAATGGCTTTGGGCTCCCCTTAAAGACCCTCCGCAGTTCGAGTTTCGGAGCAACCCTGGCGTTCTGGGCTGGGTGTTTTCTTGCGAGGCTTCACAGAACCGGATCCACTGGCTACATGATGTAGAAGCAAGTGGGAACCCGAGGTGCTCTTTGGGTCCCTCAAGAAGCCCAAGTTGCAAAGCGTTAATCAAGCACATCTACAATAAGCCATGCATGTATATCTACGTAGCTAATATGCATGCACATCTACAAACATGCTGCACAGGCAAGAAGTGGATTCATACAACCACACACCTTGTGCGGTCTGCGGATCCCTGGCTTTAGCATGCTGCTCGAGGCATTTTCGGCTTTGACAGGGGTCACCAAAAGGACGGACCCAAGCTCTGAGCGGATGTGGGGTGCCTAGCATAGAGGTCAACTTGCTATCAGATTGACCCATTTTCTGCTTAGCGAGTTGCGAGGGCTTCTTTGTTTTCCGCAGCTGGTCTCGTCTTTGTGCACAAACGTGCGACTTTGCGCCTCATGCTAAAACTTTCCCGACCAAAAGCAGCCGAGGCGCCGCAGAGGCCTCAGGCTGAGACCCCAGAGCCACAGCTGGTCGGGTTGCCTTTGGTCTGGTGCAATGGAAGAGTACCGGCAACAGCATGGGCTTTTGCAGAGCGGCTTCAGCTCATTCTACAATAATTCACAAAAAAACTCAGCTAAAGGACCAACATCATGGGCGAAATGGTGCATTTTTCACTCCCCGCATCGGGTTTTTGCTCGCGCCAATTGCCAGACCTCGCTGCGCCCCGGCTCACTTCTTCCGTGCGAGGAAGGCATCGCGGGCCGCCCAGGTGCGCTGGATCTGGCGGGAGAGGGAGCGGGGGGCAGGAGAGCGGCGTCGGCGAGTTTGTGGGTCGTTGGGTCGATCTGTGGTGCAGCTCAAAATGGAAGAGCTAGGGTTACGCAGGATATAGTCTATGGTTCCAGTTGCCAAGGGTGCCATTTTGGTACATGTTTTTGAGCCACAGCCATATGTGGTGAACCACTGTGCTTGTAAAGAAAGATCCCCAGTTTGGGTGGCCGAGTTCAAAGCAGCTCCCATTCACTTCTGGTTCTAAGATGCTAACGGTTCATATCGGCCTCACTAACAATCCCCAAACCAGGCAGGTACGACCTGCTAGAATGACCTTGGGCCTGGGGCGCTACCATCAATTGCATTGTTTCTTGGTGGGGGTTGATCCTGGGTGTCCTTGTGGCAAAATGCACAGTACTGGTAAACGATGACCAAGCTCCACTTATACAACTTATATACGTTGCCCGATTTTTTGGCGCTTGACTTCTGCGACCGGTCCTGGCTTCTAGAGTCTAGAGTGAATGTGTAAGCTGCTTCCTTCATCCGACCCCAGCCCCAAAAGTTTGATCAAAGTGGTGCACAGAAAGTCCTCCTGATCTCACGATTCACAAGGCCGCCACAACACAAACCGCCAAACAAACGAACCAACAAACAAACTAACAAACCAATCAAACAGCCCACAAGACATGCGTCCAACAGCCTCCAACCCACCCGTCCCAAACCGAGCCAACGAGCCAACGAGCCGAGCCAACGAGGCCTCCTTGTCCCAGTCGGGGTTCGACGGGTCATGTTCGCGGCCTTCCTCGAAGGCCCCCGCCGCCTCGAGTTCGAGGCGGAGTGGGGCAGAGTGGGGGGGGGCAGGGAGGTTCCACCGGCCCGTGGCTCTGGGAAAATCGGGTGACCCCGAAATGGAGCCTCTGGTCAACGGAACACAAGACCCAAACCCTGCAGGTTTCTGGTGGCTCAATATTCATCCCCAGAAACCCCAAACCACGGGGTGGGTTCACCTCATGCAGAAGTAACAAGCCAGCCCGGGTTCACATAACCAACTGCCCGACCAAAACGCCGCGCGCAACGCGCGCCTCCTGCCACTTTCGCAAGCCCCGCAGGGCGTGGCCCTTGCGGAAAAAGAGCTTCGCCCTGACGAGAGAAAGCACCACGAGCCAGCGGGAAAGACGTGGGATCAGGTAACATCAAGGGAGCAACAAACTTGCTGCATGTTTCGCCGTTTCAGTCGTAGCTTGGTGGCAAAGTACTCCTCAACGCCAGTCTCTGGGTTTAGGCCCCTTGTGGTGCCCCAAGATGGCGGGGGTTGACGCCAGATTGAAACGTGTCTGGCACAGATGCCTGGAACGTGTTGGTTGGGGCCTGCATGAACCCGACAGTGGGGATCAAATCGCAAAAACAAGTTCCATTTGTCTAGTCCTCCCCCGAAATGGGAAAACTAAAGATAACAGGATCTTCATAGGTCACCCCGTCCCCAATTCCAATTTGAGGGGGCAGGGATGATTTAAAAAAAATGAAAAAATAACAACGACAATGGACTGATCCTGGGCGTGCCGCCAGCTTGGCTCGATCTGCATGGCCAGGTTCACGTCGTCCTCTCAGGGCACAACACTGTGTGCAAACTCGGATTTGAAAGGGTGTGTGTGTGTGTGTGTGCGGGTGTCTCCTTTTTGAGGAAACCGCCCGCTGTGCAGATTCTCCCGTTTGGAGATAAGCCCGTCCATGTCCCACAAAAGTTATCAGCAAGAAGGCTGGCGGCTTTCCTCTCAAAGGTATGAAATTTCTCTCACCTGAGTCATCCCCAAGCACCTGGCAAGCAAGGAAGCACATGTCAGCCGAACGGAACCCCAGACTTGAGGCCGGGAGCCGGATTCTCTACCTCCTCAGCTTTGGCATGAGCTCGCCCGGCAAACAAAGCAGGGTTGGGATTAAGAGCGATGAAGCAGGGATCCTTACATTATACACCTGAACATTGCAACTTGTAAATGGTGCTGTTTCCAACTTTATTTTAGTGGTGAAAAAGCAACATGCTTCAAATGGTTGCAAAATGGAGATCGTTTAAGGAACCCTGTGAAGGTGGACTAATTACTATGGCTGGCAAGTCAGCTTCCAACACCTCCGGAAGGCCTTACAACCAGCCCCCGCTTCGTGCCAGCCTTGTAAAATCCCACAAGGCAAAAGGAGACCTGAAGCCGAATGCCTGTGTACCCTGCGATATCTTCAACAAAACCGCCACTTCAACCATTGTTGATTTCGGCGTGTTCCTTTTGAAACGACAAATCTCCAACTCCCTTGAGACGGGCGCTACGGGTCCAGCGCCAGCTGGAACTTGGAGATCTTGCAGTAGGCAGCACCTGACCCAGCCAATCTGATGGCTTCTCCACCAAAAAAGATGCGATGGAGTGGTGGACTTCCCAATGCTTGAGGTTTCGTCCGCCCGCATTCATCTGTAAAAAAAGAAAAGGATGTGGACAATACGTGTGCCATGGTCAAAACACCCCAATTGGGTCATGTGTCAAAACCAATTACAAGGTTGCTCCCAGAAAGGGGTTCTCCTTGGAAGCTCGCCAATCAAATCGCAGGAGTTTGACTCATAGGGTTCCTTAACTTCCGAAAGTCTTGCCTGAGCCTCCACCAAGTGGGAAGTCTGGATGCGGGATCCGAATCGAAAAGTACTGCAAGGGTACCGGGGGAAGAAGGGGAAGAACCTCCTCCAAACCGCGAGACGGGTGTGTTGGATGTTTAATGCCTTTTTGGATGGTAAGGAAAAACCCGAAAGAAACCTCTGCCTTGCGTGGTTCAGGAGCACTCACACAAGTCCAGACCCTTGGGACAGGATAGGACAGCTGGGTTTCGCATGCATGCGTGCTTGCTCTATTTAGGCAAGCCTAGTTGTAAGCTTCGGGAAGCTGCAATCATGGGCGCCATTCACCCCTCCCCCCCAAAAAAAGAAAAAGAATCGGCGTAGCCCCACACAGTAAACCATCTCGCTCGATCAGTGTCAAGATTGTCTTGACAAAGGGTGCGCTTCACCCTAGTCACATGATCGTGGAACCTCGGTTTGCGCTGTAAAACCTGGGTGCAAGCTAGGGCGTGGCTTTGTTTGGAAATGCTACTCTTGTTAGGTCCAGCAACTTGGGAAGTGAAAAGTTAAAAGTCCAGCAACTTGGGAAGTGAGGTGGTGTACTCAAAGGTTTGGGAGCACACACGCACACCGACCCACTTGGGGACACTGAGGAAACACAGAGACGTATCATACGGCATTCAAAGCCTCACAAATTTGAGCAGCGCTCCACAGATGGTGGCAAAATACCTTCTCAGCGTCCACCATATGTGGTGGTCAAGCATGGGAACCCTCGAAATCCATGGTGTTGTTTTTTTTCCGCTGCACTCCGAGGCCCAGGCTGCGGTTGGAGAGGAGCCTGGCACGTTCGGGGAAAGAGGCGCGCGAAAATCACGGAGAGGTCGAAATTGGGGGATCTCCCTGAATGGTGGCGTCCTTTTCCCTTACCAACCTGACTGAAGGAACGCCTTAAGTATGCTTGCTGACATACGGCCTGGTGCAAACAAGGAGGCAACAAGCACCTCGAGAAATATTTTGAAAACAAGCGGGCACAGAGAACAAAAGGTTCGAGGGTGGGAGCAAACGAGGCACACAACACACTCATCTTGCTCCCTTCGTGGGTGTTGGGCCAAGCTAGTAAACTGTTAGCCACGTTGCCTTGGTTATAACCCGTTTTTCAGTCGCAGTAGAGTTAAACAAGCATCTCAGCGGGTTGTGCCCCTTGCTACCCGCCAACTTGGCTGCCCCCGCCACCAACGGTCCGAGTTGCGACCAGGTCCCACGCCTCTCATTTCGCGGGGTATGTCGCAGGGCGCGAGTGTAGTACACAATGGCATCACCTTGGCACCACGTTTTGTGTGTCGTCTTTGGCGGGGGGTTCCGCCCGCGAAAGTGTTGAAGGAAACCAAAGCGCAACCAACCATCCTGGTGATGCCCCCATGTTAAGACATGACTTAATAGGAAGGCGCGCAGTTCCAACCGTGGATGCAAGACGGGGGGCTCCAAACAACCATTGGCAGGTACCGTGCTTGGGTTGGACCACTCCTCTGTTTATATAAACATGCCTAAGGACCCATTTGAACATTCTCCTTGGATTCACCCTGCAGCGGGCCCTGTGTCTGTCGCTTTTCGCTTGTTTTCACTTTTCATGGGCTGCAGAAGGAGGAGTTGTTTCTCATATGTCAAGGACTGGAACTATTTGAATAGGGGGTTGGCCCACTGTGTACAGGGCTATACCTGGATCTGGTTCACAAAAATGCCCCCAAGCCTGAACCTTACCTCGTCAGCTGACTGCACACACCATCAGTGCACACAGAAGCAAGGACTCAACCCAAGGATCCTGGAGGTGCCACTCAAAACCGAAGACATCCAGGGCTGACTTCGGAAACCCGTTTTTTCCGGGTCGAAAGCCAAGAAAGAAGGGGTAGTTTGTGGGCCACGTAGGTCCTGATTGGCAAAAATGAATGCCACCTTCCCCCGCGATGCATGCTGGACTTCTCTTGGAAGTCATTCTGCCAAATTTGCCAACCAAGCGGTCGACACTTGCCGGACCCTTCAAAGCACTTGGGTTCCAATCCCCATCTTTGGATCAACTTTGTTGGGATGGGTTTCCACCAAACCTCACCTCCCGGGTTTTTCCCCAGCAACACGACCAACCCGCCCGTCGAACCTCAGCCCCCCGACGGAAGGCACCCTCCTTAAACGCCGCGTCCGCCTTCTCCTTCTGCTCGTCGGCGAAGTCCTGGGCGAAGCGAAGCGGACTTTAGCGCTCTTGAACCCGCCAAAAGTCGCAGGGGTTCGGGTGGAAATCTCCCTTGGAACCCCCAGCCAAAGGACAAAAATCGGGTCTTGGAACGTCCTTTTGTCGAAGCTTGGCAATGGGTTGCCAAGTTCTCGAATCAATTGTAAACCCAACATGTGTCCAAAGCAGTTCCTACAATGCTTGCTCCGGCGATCTCCCTGAAGAGAAAAGGAAAGCACTCGCCGCTTTTGGAGCAAACGGATCTGGCTCCGAGAAAACCGAATTCCAATCTCGGATTTGGGCACAGAAGGCCAAGAGTCTTTAGGGGGCCTTTGACCCAAAAAGCCGAAGATGCTGAGGCCCCTGAGGCAAGGCATTGTCAAGTAGGCACCATTCACAACTCGCAACGGGCACACCTTCCGGAAACGTTTCAGCACCGCGGAACAGAACAGTTGAGAGGTCCCAGAATAGATCTGGGAAAACTGCCATACACAAAATGGCAATAAGGAATTTTCAAACAGAGCTTGTCTTGGGTCAGCTCATGAAAATCCATTTGCCCCAATGGGCATGGACCCCAAAATGGAGTTTGGCTTCTTGTTAGTTTCCCTTCGAACCAAGGTGAAAAGGGTCGCGATACTGTACCAACCCCAGCTTGGAGGAGGGCGTTCCCCTCCAAAAGTGATAAAATTTACCAGGGCCACCCCCGAGACCGCCTTCCTTCTAGGGCTTTGCCAACTCCGCCCACCTTCCCTTCGAAAGAAACACACCCATCTCCATGTTTCTTGCTTTCTGCTCCCCTGCTCAAAGTTTAACTTTTAGTGGTTGAATTCGGAAAACCCATTAGATGGCAAAAGGTTAAAGTCCGAACATCCCTTGGCAAAATGCAGCAAAGAAGAATCGGTCAGGTTGGGTGGGCTGGGTCTATGCACCTGGTCTTCCAAGCAAAGAAGCAAAGGTTTGTTGTCAATGAAACAAGGGGCACCACCCAACCTGGCCAAAAGCCTCAGACCTCCTGAGACCTCCTGCGTCCGGCGTCCAGTCGGATCGGTCGGGGGATTCCTCACGCCTAGGAGTCCGATGGCAACTGGCGATGCGTGGCTGGGTCCTTGGGGTAGTTGAACTGGGCTGTCCCTTTTTTGATCCGCTAAAAGTCTAGGTCCTCCAGTAGAGAGGTTAGAATAAGGGTACCAACTTTTTTTCTGTATATTTTAGTAGGGTCCCGAACCCTCCCCCCAAAAAAGAAACGGCAAAAGGGCACCTAGCTGGACCTAGTGTTCAACTTGGGTGAACCGGAAAACCAAGCCACTCAAACAACCAAAAACCTAAGAAAAGGTTAGGCGGATGGCTGGGATCCACCAAGCTCAGTGCTTCCTTGCCGAGGCATTGGGGCTTCGGGTGCGCGCGCGCGCACAGACACAGACACAGACACAGACACAGATTGGCGTGTTTGCTGCGGATGGGAAGGCAGAAAGAGGTGTTGCATTGATCCGATTCGGAGAAACCTTCTCTGGCCTCACTCAGCAACGCCGAAAGAAAGTTGGTTTCGCCAGGAAATTCAGGGTCGCCGGTTGAACTTGGAAGAAAAACAGGAAGCATTGTCTTTGGGCGAAACGAAATGCACCATCTGAGCGAAGTCCCTTCAGCAGATGCAACTGCTACAGCTGATCCTAAATCGATCCTGAAAGAGATCGAAGTACCATTATTGAAGCCGTTGAAGGGCGGTATAAGACCATTGCGCAATGAGCAAATCGTGTACTTTCACAACAAGAACCAAGGAAATAAGACATATTGCACGGGCGAGGCAGTGAGGCAGCTCTTGCCCAACCCCCCCGGAGTTGGGTGCTTGGGGATCCTGTGTGGCAGCAGGCACGTTGTGAATCAAAATTGGCTGGGTGGTTTGAACATTGAGGCAGGGCTCGGTCTGTGGATCAGCCTACTCTCACCGCTGAGTTATGAAGAACTCGTCAAAAACGCCCCTACGTGAGCTAGGTTTTACCCACTTGAGCCGCACACCACCACGATTCCCTATACTTCCCCTTTAAGCACCACTCCGCCAACAAAGGAAACTCCCTTGACATGGCCTAGGTGATGTCAAAAACCACCCCGAAATGCTTGGCTTCCCTTTGGTGTCCTTGAAAAACAAACCTAAAAGGGAGAGGAATAGAGCTGCACGCCCCCCCCACCGAGCGCCGGGCTTTCTTTGCTGGACCTCGCCAAATAACTTTTAGGCTGGACGGATTTCTCTAAGGTCCCTTCACACCTTCACAAAGAGGTCTCATTTGAGTTTTGCTGCTTTCACCATCCATTTGTTGTTCTTTGGTAAACTTCCTGGTAAGGGGTCCCTTTAAAATGGACCTGGTGTTGACGACACATGCGTGGATATTTTCCAGTAATCTGAATTTGGATCTTACAGCCACTTTGGCTTCATCTATGTTCAACCACACTGAAACCATGTCACATTTTCAAGGGAACCCTACCCCGGCAAAAGGGAAAGAGCACCGAAAAGCATTTTAAAAGCTGGTCCCTGTTACTTGCCTTTTCTTACAGGCCAAATGTGACCCATTTTCATCAAACTCCCACATGTCTGTCAGCAGCGCTTAAAAGAAAAACAACCTTGCAAACTCCCCTGCGAGTGGATTGGACTATTGATTGTGTGTGGGGACTTGCTTGAACAGACAGAACCAGGGACCATTGGAGACAGCGGCATGAAGCAACCAGTTCATTGGGTCCAACCTGTGCTGACACACATCTCACAAAACCAACGGAGTCGGTCCCAGTCATACGGCCGAGTCTTCAAACCCTTGTTTGAAACATATTCAAATGGGTGCGGCTCAAAAAATTGAGGGGTCCTCAATGGGCCCCTGGCAAATGGAGAAGCCGGCGAAAACCCGCGGTCCCACGCTTCCTTTGTTTCAGCATATGGAGGTTGTTACACCTTTTTTTCCATGAGCTGGGGTTGACTTTTTCTGGGGTCAACATGGTGCGAGCCGCCTGGAACTCCTCCAGGGTGCCCTGGGGCTTGTTCAGCACCTGACGCGACGCGCATGGGATTCGGCGAGGTGTGGGTCCGCTTCTTGGGTTTCCGCCGGGTCTGTTTCATCAGGTCTTCTTGGGTGTCCAGCTGGACAAAAAGTCCCATTCAGGTTCAAAGCCAGCAGAAGGAAGGTTTCTGAGGCACAAAACTGAGCAATGGCATGGAAAACTGTTCCGGCTTTCTCAGTGGGGGCTCGTGTGTGAGGTGTTGGAAGGAACCTGATCATTTCAGGCCAAGAGCGTACGCCGCCGTGTTTCTGCCAAGCCGTGTGAGTCACCCGCGGATCGCAGGCGAGGGATGGCCAATGACCCTCTTGTAGAAGTCAATACTTGGAAGGCTTCTGAGTAGTGTGGCAAATTCGACCGTGCAACAGCTTGTCGGATTCTAGGGGAAAAGTCTGAGAAGGCCCAAGAAACGCAAAACTTTGCCCCAGCATCTTCCCAATGGCAACAGTTTGACCTTTTGGACACCTCGATGGCCCTGGTAAATGGAACATCTAACCCGGTGGAATCCATCTTCGACCCAAACCAAACAAGTGACACCTATGATTCTGGGTCCGTACCCCCCTTGCCTCCTCATCCGAGTGCAGCAGCTGCTCCCAAGGACCTTGAGACTTGGAAGCCTTGCGCAGGGTCAGGTCCAAGCCTGCCGGAGAGCCGCGACGAAAATTCCTCGGGTGCCCCTCGTGGGAAAATCTATGGATCTAGGACCCCGGTAGATGGGAAGATAGGCGGGCGTCCGATTTCCCCGGTGGATGACACAAAAAAAGACAGGTCAACCAGGAATCGCCATGTGTATTCTTCTCCGAAAGAACCAAAAAGGACCCCTCCCACGAACCGAAGGCATCTGTGGGAGGGTACCTGGAAGATCAAAGTCCTCTATAGAGCCCCTGTGCCATGTTCGTGGGAGGAAGGGTACAAATCTCTCACACCCACCCCGCAAAGTCCGGAAACGAAAAGGCGCTGTTCAACGTCTGTCGTGGCCTTTGTGATGAAGCCCACATGGTGATGCTTCTTTGTGTTTGCTGCGCGCATATCATTCACCAAGCTATGAATTTCTCCATGTTGACGTATTCTGCACGAGATCATCACTGAGTCGTAGTGACACCTGGTCATGGACAGGGCATGCAGGTTTACACGATGAAACGAGGACACGGCTTCGCAAACAAGTTCTCAACGTACTGAAGCTTCTTGCTTTAAAACAGTGCTCAGAGCGTGAAGGAAACTGCCATATGAAGTCGCCACCTTCCATTTGGGCCCCTCTTTTGGAAAGGGGACCTCCGCAAGCCGGCTGGTTTGAAGAGCCGTGCTTCAATTGTCACGCGAGCCCAACCTGGCACAAAAGGGAGTCGTTCTCTCTTTGAGGGTGATGACTTTTTCGGAGAGCCTACCAAACAAAACGGGCGAAAACCGGTCGAATCCACCAAACCACCGGAAAAATGAGGAATGTCTCTTCTAACCTATTCCCTTCACCAGTGGATGATGCTTTGGAAGTGTAGGTGGTTTTATCCTTCCATCCACCTGAATTAAGCTCGTTTTGGGTGAGCTTGCCATGCTCTTTGCATGCACTGCATGTTTGCCATCCCAGGCTTCCCTTGGCTCATCTTGTGACCGAAGTGCCTTGACGACTCCCCAGTATTCAGCCCAGTGGCAGGGCACTGTCTCCATGGTTCCGCGGATGCGGTGGCCCTCCACCTCGAAACATGTGAGCAGAGCTCAAAATCCGCTGACTTTTTGGCGTAGCAACCAAGGATTCTATCGGCCTTACTAAGACCAGTAGAACCACCTCACATGGCCAACAGGGGTTTTGGGCACTGCCCGGTTGAGTTGGCGCTGTTCGAGCAAGGTCGGTGAATCTCCGGTAGTTCAAGCGACTACTCCTGCACATGTCGAGGGGACAAAGTGGACCGGTTCATTGCTTAGCGGCCCGACAGAGCAGACCACTGCTCTGAATGTTTACCATGTTGACCTAAACTCTGCAGCGCTGGGCTCGCTGTTACTCCCATCCAGCGGGATTTTCTCTGATTTCTACCAGATTCTATAAGCATGGACACACCTGGACATGAGGCGGAGCTTCCCTGACCATGCAGCTAACAACAGAATCGGAATCGAAGACCAATCTTAGAAAACTAGGAAAACTCGAGATTGGAGGTTGACTGCACAAAAGGCACCAGAAACCGGTGGGTATGTGTGGAAAGGGAGCCAAAGACAAGCCGACTAGTTGAAGGGCCGCAGCAAGTCACTTCCTGCGCCCCTAGTCAAGCAAGCGGCTGAACTTTCAAAGCGACTCCCAAAAAAAACACATTTGCCAAACACACCGCCAGAAACTTCAAAATTGTGGACCCCCATTTGGTTGGTAAGGAAAACCAAACGAAACCGAAATGACGTTTTGGACTCGTGAAACACTCTGGAAAAATTACTATAATCCAAAAATCGGGGGGGTCCTTTTTGTTGAGGGTTCCCTTTTCTGACTGATTCGAAATGGAAGCCAAAGGCAAAACCGCCAAAGAAGCCCAAGTGGTATCCCCAACCCCGGAACCCCCTGGAACCGAATCGACCAGTCCATCCAAACCTACCAGGCTCTGGTCTTAGGAAATCAACCCCAAACACATCCAGGTCCAGTAGAAAGCTCAGAATCAGGCTACCCGATTTTTCTTCTGCCTACTTTAGCAGGGGAACCCTTGCCCCAAGGGGACAAAAAGGGCACCTTGGGGGACCGAGTTGGGGTAGGCACAGTTTCCGCGCGGTCGGAGACACTGAAACAAGAGGTTCCACACAGCTAACTTCAAATTGGTGCCTAGTCCAACTACCGGGGGGCCGAGTCCAACTTGGCCTCGGCACCTTCACGGCCGACAAAAAAAAAGTTTCGCGCCTCCCGGGTGACGCTGCTGAGCTCCAGCTCAGTGAAGTCCGGAAGCACGGAGCCTCGCTCCGAGAAAACCCGGAGGGGCGGCGCGGCTTCTTCTTTTTCGGAAAATCGCCCCCGCAAAGACCTCACCCTCTAAAAACACACACACACACACAAAGGGTTTGGGGGACCTTTTAGTCTTCAACCACGGAAACAAACCAAAAAAACAGACGTGTTTACCCTCACAAGAAAGACACACCCAAAGGGTTTGGGGACTGCCCCTTTGCAAAAAAAGATACCCTTTGTGGTACAGGGAAACCAAAAGGCAAGCCATCCACTTTTTAGGGTTCCCTGTTGTGAGATACAGCCACAGCCACCTCATGTTTGCGGACCCGCTTTCCGGAGCTCTTAATTTTCTGATGAGTAAAGGTGGGGCCAGGGTATGTGTCAAAATAGGAGGGACCACCAAAATGAACCAACCCGATCAAGGTACCCTCCAAAAACACGCACCCATGCGGAACCTGAACGGGACCCTGGTTTGGACAATTTTCCTCGGGACACGTAGATCGTCCAGGGGTTAGCCAAGTGGATAGCGTTGCCGGGGCTTTACGCAATTGCGCATGATGTGCTTGGATCTTGTGTGCCTGTGCCAACTCTTTGTTGCTTCCCACGCCACCTGGCCGAGGGTCAAACTACTAGGGGCCCTCCACCTTGTTTCACCCAAAAGGTCCTTGTTTCCACGCCACGACATCCCACAATCCTCCTCTTGCTCTCTACGGTACTGGGCGACTCCATCCGACGTCCAGACACACAATTGCCACTTCATTCGGTTGTGAAGGTGTCCTCTTGGGAAGATAGATGGGTGTCTGATTTCCCTGGTAGATGAAAAAATAAAACAGGAATCGCCATGGGTGTTTTTCTCCGAAAGAACCAACAAGGACAGGACCGCTCCCACGAACCGAAGGCATCTGTGGGATGGTACCTGGACGATCAATGTCCTCAATAGAGCCCCTGTCAGGTGCCATGTTGCTGGGAAAGGCGCTGTTCAACGTCTGTCGTGGCCTTTGTGATGAAGCCCACATGGTGATGTTTCTTTATGTTTGCTGCGCATAGCATTCATCAGGCTTTTAATCTCCCCATGTTTACGTATTCCGTAGGAGTCGCAACATTCAAAACCTGGTGAGATCATCACTCAGAACTCTTGGGTCCCCGCCACCGAGCTCACCAAGGAGAATCGGGGAAGACCTGAGGCGAGGTCTTAGAGAGTCACGGGGTCAAGGAAAGCCTCGTCCCAGGGGGTGGGGAACTACCCCCTTTGGAGTTCCCTCGATTCTTTGAAGGGAGCCCTAGGCTTGTCGCCAAACCACCAGTTGACGGGTTTAAAGTTGGGGTGGGGACCGTTTGGCCCGTCTGAGCTGGATATTCTTGCTTCTCAGGGCATCGCCCTGCGGGATTGATTTGTTTGTTTTTCAGGAAGCCACAAGAAACGACACCAGTGGGTCATTCCACACTCATTCTCTGAGAGAATGCAAAGTAACTTTTTTGAGGGAGCCCCAAAATGGAGGTGCTCCTTTCGTCTTTCCTTTAGAGCCACAAAAGGTGGGGGAACCTCAACAAAGACACACTGCTAGTCTGTTGGACTGAGGTTTGGAAGAAAATGAGCATTGCTCCCAAAAGTGGATGCATAATCAGCATCGCTCATCATGGGGAAAGGTTGCACTGGACGATAACCTGCTTTCAACAGCATGCAGGTTGACTTGCAGTACGATAGGATGCACTCCCATGCCACCTCTCCTTTCTCCTTCTTGTTTTGCACTCGCGGAGAGGTAGTTCCAAAACTGCCTTTCACTCTCATGGCAACGAGTAATGACTGAGTGCTGAATGACCCTATTTCTTACATTATGCAGGGGGGTGAACTGGGGGGAATAGCACCAGTTGTTCAGGATGCGGCCAAAAAATAAGGGGCCGCATCGGGTCACATGACACCAGCAACCCAAACGGAAAAAAATCACCGTGCCACCCCTCGAATCCTCACAAATCCCTGGCACCCATCTCTCGGCATCGCATCGAGGCTTCGGCTCGTCCCCGCGGATGAAGAGCTTCAGAAAGCGTTCTGAGACGTCCGCGCCGAAGAGTCTGGCCGGCCCATTGACTTGTGGCCGAGGGTTGCACAGGCAGAATACACTTGTACCCAAAATGGAACACTGGTGAGTGGAAACATGGACCAAAACCTGCGTAACTGATTCATGTTCAACCACACCCACTTTGCTTGAGCTCTTCGTAAACCAGATAGAACCACCTACTAAAAGTACTAAAATGGCCAATGGAGGGCTTAGGCGCTGCTCAGGTGAGAGTGCGGGAATGGGGCTCGAAAAGATGAATAAAACCCAACAAAATGGGGGATAAGCTCAAGGGAAACAAAGGACGAACGAGCCAAACAGTCTGGGAATTACCTGCTTTTGAGGCAAATCCAGCCTCAGTTGAGTCACAACCTCAGCAAGAATGTGAACGGGTGGGCCAAAAACTCTCTAAAGCAGCAAAAGGGCGGATGTCCGCACCAATTTCTGGCTGGGACCTACCCGGGTTTTGATTGCTCCAATTGATGCCATCAGTCAGCACTACACCGAGAACTGCGGTGGGTGACACCTCCCTACTAATAGAATGATTTCTACTTCGATCCGAGATTCACACTAGCAGGAAGCAGCGTTTCCCGGTCTTCCATCATGGCCATGGTGAGTCTTGCAGCAAATCATGGATTGCGCTTCCTGGTATTTCTGTTGCCACCCCAAGGGCAGCCTTGTTCGCTTTGGCAAGAACCTCTCCTAAGACCTTGAAGCCAGGAAAGAACCCAGGCACAAGCACGTGCTTTTCACGGCCATAAGGAGTGGCCCCCCTTTGACGGCCAAAAAACGCGGCGGCCTGAAGTACGGCACCTTCTCCAAGGCCTCATCCAGCTTCTTCCTGAGCGGGATGAAAAAAACGGCTCTCGGGCTGCGTCGAATGTGGCGGAAGGAGCCCCTTTGGAGAAAAGCAATCATACTGGCTCTGGACCCTCTTCGGAGTTGCCAGAGTGCAAGCTGATGGGAAAAAACCAATCACGGAAAGTGGGGGGGGGGGGGGCAAGGGGGGGAATGGGGGAGGTGGTCGTATTTTAGTCCCTGAACATAAGGTCCCTGTAGAGAAGGGACAGGTAGTGTAGAAACTGTTTGGGGGCGGGGACTCACTTGTTTCCCTATGCCCCCTTATGCAACGAGAGGCAGAGGAGTACCTGGCAATGCTTGGTAGCCTATCCGGAACCCTTCGTGTGCTGACAACCCATGTGCCCAAGTGCCGAAGGCAAACTGGGAAAACCTTTCACGGAGAGATGTCAACGAGACATGATATGAGTGTCTCTTTTTTTCAGGGTACCTTTGTGGAGTGGATCTTGAACAGGGGAACCCAAGAGGAAACTCATTGTTCGGGTACTCCTATTTCAAGATTCCCATACCTTACGGCACGATCTTTGTTTGAAGGGGTACCGAAGGCGGTGAAGCTCGATTTCAGCTGTTCACAAGAACTTTGTCTCCTAGAGTCGCCCTTTTGGCTGGTCCTTCGTTGGGACCTTCACAAAAACAATCGTGGCAGGAGGAAGCAACTTCCAAAAAAGAAAAAGAACATATCTTGGAAAAATGAAGCCTTAGTCCCTGCTCCAATGGCCAGATGCTTGAGGTCGGGCTCATGGTGGCTCCGTAGGCATTCATCCCTTCGAGTGCGGTCAAAGAGCTGGTCAAGCACGATGCGGAAGTAAAGGTACTCCTCGTTCTGCCCCTGCCTTCAGCAGGGTGTGGCTCAAAATCAAAGAACTTGGGTTACGAAGGTGTTAGTCTTTGGTTCCATTTACCAAGGTGCCATTTTCAGCTGCCAACCAGCTCAAGCCATTGGCTTCGTTCTTCTAAGTGTCCATGCCGAATCAATCTGCACTAGCTGTTATGCTTCACCCACCTAAATTAAGAAACTCCCAAGCAAGGTAATTGTCATCATGGGTGAGAACGTTTTGCCTCACCGCCTTTCCGTGCAGGGAACGTGTCGAAACAAGGCAGCCCTGCAAATCGTTGCCAAAATGTCCGGCTTTCCCTTGTTCCCGTAGTTGCAATATTTAGGGCATCACACGTAGCTGTGGGCTTTGACACACGCCATGACACCCCGCCACAAGGAAGCTCGCTTTCAATTGTCAATCGAAAGGTGTGTTCAAATCAGAGGGGAAAAGGGTGTTTGTTTCTCTGAGGGTGCCCTTTCTTGGAGTGGTCTTTGATTGGGGCGAAGATGGGTCTGTGGGACTTCAATTACTTTCGCCTCTCGTCTCTTCGCCCAGCCACTGCAGCTCGTTGCAGAGCCAACTTCTGGACATCACAAAGGGATCCTGGCGATGGGGTTACAAGGATGCAAAATTAGGTTGTTCATCCGAATCAGGGGGACTTAGCTATCTTCCCGTGTCCCCAGGATGCATTTGGGCCAGTAAGAAAGACATCACTGTTAACAGCTGAGGATCCCTGGCAGAGCAAGTGGTGTTTTTTTTGGTGCATCCTGTAAAGAACACGGTGAAGCGCGGCAAAACGGACCGGGAACTGCGCAGGGGCAATGTTCCTCAGTTTCGGCGGTCAGAATATCTTAGTGAGCCCCCATGTCCCTGCAAACTTGACCATGGACTACTGAATATGGGTGTCTTTCTTTGAGGGTACCGTTTTGGTGGTTGGTTTCAAAGGACACCAAAAGGAAAACCACCATTTTTCGGGGGTCCCCTGCTTTAAAACACACCCATGTGTTGTCTGAACCTCAATTTCAATCACACACCCGCATCGCCGGCCTGTCAAAATGCCTGTAAATCCTCCGGGACAACTGCCAGGATTTCTGGTGCGAACGAATCGGTGAAAGGCACTTGGTGGAAAACATGCTGTCACACTGGGTTCATTATGTTGACTGTGTCTGGGGTTATCAAAGTCAGAAACTGGGGTTGTTTCCTTCAACCCATCACTTTGGGGGTGACTTTGATAAAGGGAAGACAATGAGGCCAAACACTTGGAGAGCAAAGCGTTTCACGTGAAACAGGACTGCACTGGCCTCTACCAGGCCTTTGATGCATTGCCAACCCGGATACCGACATGCTGACTGGAAACTACCTCTCTTTCCAACCACCAAGAACAATGATTTGGAGGAGTTTGAAGATTCCAAAACCCTCCTCATCTGGAAGTTAGCGAAGTGCCTGCTGACCCCTCGCTGAATCCGGTCTTGTCACCTTGCTTGCAAGCGTCCTGTAAGCTGAACGCGTCGGGAAGATAACCCAATTTCCAAACGGCAAACTGGCTGATTCACCTGTCCAGCTGTACTTCGCCATCCTCCTCCCCCCCCCAACCAGAAACAATATGTTCGCTTGAGAGGTCTTTGGAGAATAGACGTACAAAGAACATTGTTTCTGGGAATTCAAGTTTGTAAGTTTACTTACAGAATGCTGGTAGCTCCTTAGCTCCCTCTTTAAAAGCAAATTTGGACACCCCCAGCTCCTTGTTTCGTTTGTTTGTTCGTTTGCTTGTTTGTTCAATTGTTCGTTTGTTTGTTTGTGCGTTTGTTCGCTCCGTCACTCACTCACTCACTCACTCGATCGCTCGCTCGCTCGCTCACTCACTCACTCACTCACTCACTCATTCATTCATTCATCCATTCCATTCCATTCCATTCCATTCCATTCCATTCCATTCCATTCCATTCCAGTTCATTAACTTCATCTCATCTCATTTCATTTCATTTCATTTCATTTCATTCATTTAGTTATTCGTTCATTCATTCATTCAGTCAGTCAGTCATTATTTCCTTCCTTCCTTCCTTCCTTCCTTCATTCATTCATTCATTCATTCATTCATTCATTCATTAATTCATTCATTCATTCATTCATTCATTCATTCATTCATTCATTCATTTGTTCATTCATTCATTTGTTCGTTTGTTCGTTTGCTCTTTCGTTTGTTTGTTCGTTCGTTCCTTCATTCCATTCCATTCCATTCAATTCCATTCAATTCCATTCCATTCCATTCCATTTCATTCCATTGATGCATTCATTCCCAACACCAGCTAACAACCTTGAAGTGTAACATGTCTTCAAAAGAGATCTGAGACCTGGACGACTTCGTGCACTGGACCCTTTGGCAAGCGCAGCCCCTGCGCCTGCACATCAGGCCGCCTCCCAGGCTTCAACGTGAGCCACGCGCTCTCGCTCTCGCCTTGGCCAGCGCGGGCACTGGGGGCATTGGTCTGGCCGTGGGCATCATGTTCGGTCGATCCGGTTGCATATAATACACCAATTATCTTGAGATGAGGTTAGGTCTTCTGAGCTAATCGCCAGTTCAAAGCGCCGCGCGTGGCTTGGCGGCAAGTGTCACTTGCCAGCGGAATCCATCGACTTGTTTAAGATAACACCTAGCTTTGCAAGTATCCTAGGAGCACCTTGGACCCTAAACAGGCAGGCCCTAAGATTCGGGCATCTCAACATCGCATGCCTACATATGAAGTCTATTGACGCGCTTGCTTGCGCCTCAGATTGGTCACTCTCGCAACGGTAAGTCCTCGCTAGCATGAGCAATGGAGTAGGAAAAAGGTCTCAAGTCGCCTCCGCCTTTGATCCTGCAGCTAGATTTGCCAAGCACATAGCCTTCCATTCAACAATAAAGCTATTTCAGAGGGCCCAAACAAGATCTTTCGTTGAGGTTGGAATTCGTGGAATCTGGCGCCCCTGCGGAGATTCCCGCGGCAACGCCCCGCTCTTCCTTCAAATGGGGTGGGTGGGTGCGGCCAAAAATGGTCGATGAGTTTGCCAGTGGATTCCACATTCACTGCCACTTTCGGAGGCCCACACCAGCTTGAAACACGCAGCTCTGCGGGAAACAGCTGCAAATTGACCGTTGGAACATCATCCCACTGAACGGCAACTCAAGCATGCAAAGCAACTTCACAACCCCCGACCCGGCCAAACCCACCCAAAATCCCAACCTCAACCCACACGCGCCAAGCCCACCCCAAACCAACCCCCGCCCACCCATCCCAAACACACCCCAGACACGCTCCACCACCCCCAACCCCAGCTTCTTCATCTCTCAAGCAGCGTGGTTTTGGGGGCTTGCACAGGCAAAAAAGGTAATTGCAGTCTGCTGGTTTTACTGGATGTTCATTTCAACGTTATGGACAAGCAACGCCCTTTCTGGTAACACCCTTGGAAACTATGCTGCACCATGTGAACAACTTGGAATAGATAGCTAACTAGCTAGCTAGATAAGCAGACTCCGATTGCCACAACTTAGGAGCTCGGCGTGCTCCGTGGCTGGGGGCTGCGCATTGAAACAGCTCGACGCGACCACGTCGCGCGTGTGGTTTTTGGATTTCTCCACGACCGTCCGCACCTCCGCTTTTTCGCCTGCAGGGGCTCGAGTCGCGAAGGCTGGCTAAAAAGCTCGATCTGAGGGCGGCGCGCTTGGCGTTGTCCTGCACGCACCGGACGCGGAGCTGCAAGGCGGCGAGCAAGGTCGGGACTTGGCCTGCCGCTAGCCGTCAAGCCAACAAGCCGCGCTTGGCGGCTTCTTGGCGCTCTTAGTTGACGAGCAAACATCGAGGCCGTAGTGGCAGAGCCCTTCCAAGCACATCCTGGAACAGCTGCCTGTGAAGGGCTTACAGGGAGAACCAGGGAAGCCCCCCCTTCCTGGCGGACTCAGTGTGGCAGCCACTCAGCTCCATGACGCCAGCCATTTTAATTGCAAGTTGCCGGAATCCATGGGAAGATGGCACTGCCCCGAGTGAATTCATGGGCAACTGCTCCGGCTGCCACTGATCAGACCAATAAAGGGAACTCTGTTTGCTAGGGGGACACACTGGCCATGCCCTTGCAGAAAATACATTTGGAACCTCACGCACACATCAGCACATTGGTTGAAGCTACTAGCGGGAGCAGCCTTTGGCCCAGGATTTGTGCACCTGCTGTCATGCACCTGTACGAAGCCGACGACTGGGGGGAATCTGCGCTGATTGGAAACAACAGAGGTAGAATCGAACCCAATCTCCACCTTCCACCCTGGCTCTGTCTCGCTCTTGATCAATCTCTATCTCAACCCTTTCTTTCTTTCTTTCTTCCTTCCTTCCTTCCTTCTTCCCTTCCTTCCTTCCTTCCCTCCCTCCCTCCCTCCTTGGTTCCTTCCTTCCTTCCTTCCTTCCCTCCATCCTTCCTTCCTTCCTTGCTTGCTGGCTTGCTAGCTTGCTTGCTTGCTTTCTTTCTGTCTTTCTTTCTTTCTTTCCTTCCTTCCTTCCCTTCCCTTCCCTTCCCTTCCCTTCCCTTCCTTCTTTCTTTCTTTGTTTCTTTCATTCATTCATTGTTTTTCTTTCTTTCTTTCTTTCTTTCTTTCTTTCTTTCTTTCTTTCTTTTTTTTCTTTCTTTCTTTCTTTCTTTCTTTCGTTCTTTCTTTCTTCCTTTCCTTTCCTTTCCTTTCCTTTCCTTTCCTTTCTTTTCCTTCTTTCCTTCTTTCTTTCTTTATTATTTCCTTCTTTCTCTCTTCATGTATTTCTTTCTTTTCTTTCTTTCTTTTTTTCTTTCTTGCTTTCTGCTTCCTTTCTTTCTTTCTTTCTTTCTTTCCTTCCTTCCTTCCTTCCTTCCTTCCTTCCTTCCTTCCTTCCTTCCTTCCTTCCTTCCTTCCTTCCTTCCTTCCTTCCTTCCTTCCTTCCTTCCTTCCTTCCTTCCTTCCTTCCTTCCTTCCTTCCCTTCCTTCCTTCCTTCCTTCCTTCCTTCCTTCCTTCCTTCCTTCCTTCCTTCCTTCCTTCCTTCCTTCCTTCCTTCCTTCCTTCCTTCCTTCCTTCCTTCCTTCCTTCCTTCCTTCCTTCCTTCCTTCCTTCCTTCCTTCCTTCCTTTCCCTCCCTTCCTCCCTCCCTCCCTCCCTTCCTTCCTTCCTTCCTTCCTTCCTTTCCTTTTCTTTTCTTTTCTTTTCTTTTCTTTTCTTTTCTTTTCTTTTCTTTTCTTTTCTTTTCTTTCTTTCTTTCTGTCTTTCTTTTTTGCTCTTTTCTTTCTTGTCTTTTTTCTCTCTTCTCACTTTCTTCTTTCTTTCTCGCTTGCTCGCTCGCCTTTCTTAGCCTAGGGCACGCCTTCGTCTACTTGACGGTGCTCTTCGGCG